AAGCGGATCTTGGATATCACTCAGTAAACTTCCTTCAAGCCACTGAATCAGCGTTGCAGCTGAACCGGCGCCGACATGAGTAACGCGCAAGCGCATTTTTGGCCGCATCAAGCTGAGTGAAAGCATCTTTAACAAGGTCATCTGCACTGCGATCACCAAGGACATTACTTGCAAGCCCCTCAATATTCCCCCTCAACTGCTGCAAATCCTCTTGCACTTTCGCAGGCAATTCATTAATTTGCTTCTCAACATACAATTTAATTGCATTTGTAATCTTCTCCTTCACCTGCTTCAAATCCCTCTTGAGGGATGTGTCCATGGCCACAACAGCCTTAAGGGCTGCAGTGACCTTAGACTCAACAGCCTTTTTGGCTGTCCTGGCAGCCTCCAAAAGCTCTTTTCCTTTCTTCTGTAACTCTTGAGCTTGCACATAAATCTTACCTTCGGGTCTGTTTTCTATCTTAGCTTTCTTACTATCTCCTCTCCGCCTTGCCAATGACACCCTGGGCGGCAGAGTTCCACTGCTCCAGACTCTTAACATTCTCGCCGAGAGTATTATTCGCCTGTACAATTAAGTTATTATTTTCTTCAATCGTACCGATTTTAATGCCAACGTGATCACTTGTAGCGCCACCATTTTTATCAGGATTCAGATTCTCATACACCTCATTGGCCTTCCCAATCGCCCCTTGAAGCACATCCCTGGCCTGATCCTTCCACTCTCCCAAACTTGAATGGACACTATTCAGCTTCTCATGAACATCATTAATTCTGTCCTTAGCTTGCACAATTTTCTTAACATTCTCATCCAGTGTCTTATTAACCTTCAACTTGTCGTAGGCTTCCTTGGCCTTTTTCTCAGCGGCCTGACGGATGTTCTCCGCCTCGGTGATCCACTTATTAAGACTGTTGACTTGGCTGTAAAGTTGTGAATTTGCGCTAATAATGTTGTTTTTAGCGTTATCAATGTTTGTAATATTTTGGCCAATTGTGTCCTTACCATCTGGGTTCAACTTGTCACGCACCTCTTTTGCCTTCCCAACCGCTGTGGTAAGCACACCGCTTGCCGCATCTTTCCACTGATTCAGCTCATTAATGTGCTGGCTAAGCTTTTGATCAACTTGCTTAACTTTATCCTTGGCGTCCCTAATCTGCTTAACCCCCTGACCAATCGGAGTCTTTGGATGACCATTATTATCACTATGATCCAACCTCCCATGTACCTGTTCCGCCTTCACCTTAGCCGCCTGAACGGCGGCGTCCGCAGCCTCAATCCACTTCGTCAACTCTGTAACTTTGTCACTAAGTGTCTTATCAATTTTCCCGGCGGCCTCATCAATCTTCTTTTTATCGTCTCCATAAATCTCCTCCAATATCTTGTCAACATACTTCTTTACTTCATTAATATACAGTTTTGCGTCATCCATCCACTTCACCAGATCCTGAACATATTTCGCCAGGCTCTCACTTATGTCTTCCAACTTCCTTTTAATCTTCCTAACACGCTCCTTCAACAATTCGACAAGCGCGTGCACTTCTTGTTTAATTCTATCCTTGACTTCCTTTCCGAGCCTCCTAAGCCTTGTCTTGATTTTATGAATCATCTCGTCCAACTTCTTCTTCTGACCCTTGCGAGACCACTTGCTCAGCCAGCCCACGTGATTGAAGAAGCTTTTCCTGGCGTTCTCAAGTTTTGATCTCAGCTTCGGGTTCAGGTCACCTATGGCGGTTTTAGCAGACTCCAGCTTTTTGGAGAAGTCCCTGGCAACCTCTTTGCACCGGTCCACCAAGGACGCAGCGGCCTCCACAGTCTGCTCATCTTGGCTAGGCGTTGATGTATCCGACACCTGCAAATCATTAATGCCTCTAGACAACTCACCACCATCTTTCACAAATGCGATAACGTCGTCAATCGGCTTCCTGACCTTTTCGTTAGAAGCCTTGACTTTTTTGTTATACTCCCCGAGGCCTCCGGCCACTTTGGGGACGGCAGTCTTGAAGCCATGGTGACCACGCCACCTGGCTTTTCCAAGCTCACCAACCACACCACTCAACGCAGCTCTACCAGCGACGTACGGCTGGTTTTCATAGACATCACTCAACGCGCTATGCAAAAACTCTATGATGGCGTCGCACAGACGGCAGGCGTCGCCGTACACAATCCCGGAACCATCGTAGGTTCCGGGAGGCTTATAGCCTACAAATTTTGCAACGGAGGAACAGAGATTATGTAAAATGTTTTCATTAGTATTCGCAGAGTTTTGCGGAAGAGAGCTCCGAAACCCTTGAAGCTTGGAGATAACATCTCCGGCGGACGGGTCATCTGACTCGGAGGGAGACGACAGAGATTTCTGAGCGTCCTGAGCGACATGGTCGAACAACTTACCGAGAGCGCTGGACAGCTTCGAGATGCCACCGCCGTGCTTCACCTGCACGAGCCAGTCGATCGACTCTCGAAGGTTCTCTGGACAGTCCGTCAAGGCCTTCGGCGCCATGCCTCTAGCACCGAACCCTGACGCCGCCGAGACGACGGTAGACCGCCATCCGGAGCCATCAAGGGTTTAAAAGACGAGCATACATCACCGCCGACACTACAGTCATCGCGCGGTAACCTCACAACCACCCCAATACAGCTGCATGTAAAATCATTGACGGATAGCTGCATTGAGTGGCCAGCTAAAGCCAATTAACATACGATGCTGCACTGTACCTACGGTGGCAACCAAATTATAAAGTAACGTGACAACCAAAAGTGTAACCAAATATCAAAACAAATTAATGATCAACTACTTTCTTGATCTTAGTTTTCTTTCTCATTTTCTCCACAGCTTACTATATTTTACCGTAATATATGCATTATAATTAATATTTAACGTTTAATGCTGATTTTATATTGCCGACGTGATTACTGTTTAGAGTGTCAATAATCGAAGATTTGATATCATTATTTTGTATACATCTGAATGCGTTGCTTCCGCTACGCATCGTATTACGCTGAGTCTCTGCGCTTCCATTAAGAAGCTACGTGAACTTTGTGAAACATACTCAAATGAGCCTTTAACGCGATATTTCCAGATAATAACGTCCACCCAACTTTACATATCACGTCCACCAGGCAACTACCGTTGCCCGTAAAGCATTACAAAGCTATTAGAAGCATAGATCGCCAATTTATGCGCTTTCTAGTCGGCCGCTCTGAAACGACCCTTGTGAATCACATGCGCGCTACGCGCTCCTGACGCTTAACGTCACTAATCTCACGCCTCGTTTATAACTCTGCGACGCAGCAACAGCCGCAACTAGCTACCAGTCATCTAAGCATCTACTCAGCTACAAAGTGGATACGGTGGAAAGCCTCAATACAGCTCCAGTGCGCTCATCTGACGCCGCTCTCTGCTCTGCATGATTGCACGGCGGATACCATTACGGCTAGGCATACATTACACAACTCCGCTAGTGCTGTACGACGTAACGTAGAGGCGCCCAGCTTCTCACAGCACAACAGAAGCAGCAGAAGGATCACAGTACGTTAGTAAAAGTGACATAAAACGCATTATTGCGTGCTATGTAATCCAATTACTGCAGCACTGTGTGGCATGTATGGCTGTCGAGTACGCATCGAGACGCAGCAGCAATACGCCGAGTGGAAGGCAACAGGTAAGTTTATCATTATACGCATTCAAGCACACTCTCAATCACAAGCAAGGCGTCAAATCTTGCGATCATCAAGGAATGACGTGGAATCCCTGCTAACGCTGCCACCGCTCAGCCGGGTAGGCGGCCGGTCGCCGACTTCGACATGCAGCTGCGCGGCACTCATGCGATGAATCGCGTATTGCAATGGCACTAATCAGACGTCACATAAGCTATATCAAACGGTATTCCATCAATTATCACGTAGACCACCAACCCGTATGCGGCCAGCTCCGCTGCCCTTCCCACGTCCTCACATGCGCCAGTCCATATACGTCACCCATCGTCTGCGCGCTTCACATAACGCGTCAGACCACGCAGATCCTCTGCCTCTTCGACGCTTCACTCGCGGAGAAGAGACTCACATGCCAGCGCCTTCCCAACACGGCCCGTCCCGAAGGCCGCATCCGGCCGCAGGGTCCGGCTGAGTGGTCCACCGGGTGACGATATGGCCACAAACAGTGTACTCTAGCGTAGGTAATGTAGCATATAATGCTTAGCATAAGTGGCTTGTTCAAAAGTTAGTGACCGTATGTGGTCAGTAGATGTGAAAGGTGTCCCAGCGGTGCAATGCCAGCTGACGTATGTATAGTAGCGGTAGCAGTAATATTGCTATGCTTGCTTTACGTGTAAAACGTAATGTCAACCCTTAGACAGCGTCTCATTTTATGTATTATGTCAGTCACCCAACGATGTCTCTCGACTAGGTGACCCTGTCTGCCTATGCATCCACAATTCGCAGCTGTGTCGTCTCACCAGCCCTTGATTACACTGCGATATCGACTACTATTTTGTGTGACGTGTTAAAAACGGCATAAGGTAAGCGTGTCTGTGAAAAAGCGTAAGGGGAAGGCTGCTCGTTTCCCGGCCAGTGGGCCCGACGGTAAGCTTCATGTTTGCAGTGCTGCCTATATAAAGGACCAAAAATGCATTATATACCGCAGAAAATATCGCCGTAAATATAAAATGAGCAGTCAGCATGGCAATCCATACGTAGCAACTCCACCGGTTGTACGCCGTCTCCCAGTCGGCCTCCGCCGCCCATGACTGGCCGGCTCGGCCTTGGTCTGGTGGTAATTTTTGTTGATGCTAATATGGCTTAAAAAAGCCCCCAAAGTGCGCTACAAGTGTTCTAATGTGAAAACTCAGTAAAATGAATACTGTCTGAAATCGTTCATAGTGCCGCTAACAGCGCTGGGAAGGCCCCTCCGGCGCCTGCGGACTGCCGTCCTTACAGGCGGCCATTTCGGGAGCCCTCTAGCATTGCCCAAGCGTTTCCCCAACCACTTGGGGGCGCCAGATTGGCTACCTGGGCGGTGGTGCATCAGCCTCACCGCACACCCATTTCACCCACAGCCTGTAACACCACGCCACACACCACCACATTCATATCGAAATTCATTACACGCCACCGCCGGTGTTCATGTCTGAATGTTAATGCTACGTGCTTAATTACGGCTCATCCTGCGCAGAGGCCGATACCTGTTTAGACTATGCGACAGGCTGTTCATGGGTAGCCGCGAGAATCTCCAGTGAGGGTGAGGCCTCGTCCACAGCGGTGGGCGTGGTCCTCGAATCCGGGGCGAAAATTTACGTGATTCTTTATTGCTATGATAAGTCGTCAAATGTGTTATTATAATTGCACACATGTCTATATCGTTACGTTTTAATTTGTCTAACGTGCATTGTGGCACATATCCATGCCACATTATGCAGTATCACAATAGAAAAAAAATTCTATCAATATATTAGAAAAATTTATCTTCTGCTCTAGCGTATAATATGGGCACTGTCATTAGTTATTTCCTCGATTCTTTTAAATGGTACCCTTCAGCGCCTTGATATTTTACGCGTATTACATATGATCCGTTTGTGGTGTACTCTCAGCAAGGTAAAATCTACATCGATTTTGTTAAAGGTGTTAATTATGCATTGTCAATAATGCGTTGCGCTCTGTCTCGTGATGTTGAATGACTTGTTAATTTACGGCAGCATTAATTAAAAATTTTATGCCTAGATGCTGTGACAGGTCAGTACACTCAGGAAAATGTCAACGAATCATAAAAATAGAAGACTCAAAGCATAACAACTTGTGTCGTATGCGCGCTGCTTTGACCTTTATGTTTGCATAATGATTCCATCGAATGCAGTGATAGTCGCATTAAAATTTGTCTGCATTCGAACAAAGCTTTTCGCTGTAACAAAAAATGCATTATAAAATACCCTACCGTTTCTCCCATAATTGTCGATGTACATCGCGTTGTATTAATTGTTTCATAGCTGTTGTCCTATAGTTGGTCTACATAAAGTATAACAAGACGCGGAAATCGCGAAAAAGTGACGTATGCAATAGTGTTTGACATTGCATACACACGCAAATAACTGTTTTATTATTATTATCGCACTTGATTTATATAACGAGCTTCATATTGTTAGTAAGAACCATTAATACATCTACAATAGCGTATAATTGTTGGGCGCGGAATTACTCGAATGAGTTACTGTTATTCGGCGTTATTTGTCGTAAACTGCGCTTTAATTCAACACGTTTGAATAAGAGCACAACAGTGTATATATATATATATATATATATATGCTATATTAACGTTAAATATATTCCAATAATAATATAAGGCCTCCCACATTGTGATAGCACATACATTTCGTATATAGTTGTTCGGTGTGCATTCACGATATTGATAGGCGTCCATGTGCGCTCTCCGATAGCTAGCTCACAATTGATCAGGCATGATCCTGATACAACCTAGGAAGCATTAAATGAAAAATATAGCAAAATAGTATAGTTGTGCATGCTGTCTTAGTATCACAAAATGATGTGATCATTCATAGGTGTACAAAAATAAATCATATGACCGCCGTGGAATGTTAATACAGTTGATCTCATAATTAAAAATATAGCTAATGCACATATATGAATAACCATTAAAAATAATTCAGGTAGGCCACAAAAATGCGGTAATGGTAATATAAGTGCTGCCTGTGATAATTGGCCATTAATTATGATCGCAGCGCCACATAGTTATTAAATGAAGTGTTCATGAGAAAAGCAACACTCCGCCAGCATTTGGCGCTCTCATAATTAAGTATAACGTGATTACTTGAATAGTGACGCACAATCCGCTGTATTACAGAAAACCAATTTAGATTATGTACTGCCATAAATTAAATAAATATAAATCGGTGTAAAAAACATTATGAGATACACGGTGCAGAAGCTAAAGAAAAACCATTAATTAACACGCTTTCATTCATTTTTTTTAAAAATATACCATTAAATGCATGCATAATGTGTGGCCACGCGATTTATAACTCACACAATGATGCATGTATTTATTTTGTGTCTTAGGCAAATATTCATTATGCGTTGCTTGTAGACCGATGTATTTCTCAAGATTGTTACATAGTTGAAGAATATAAGATTAATATTTATGCTACGGTGTATCCTGTATAACGGTGTATTCAATGCCTTTTCTTCTGTTATACCACAGATGCTTCTATACATATAAGTCTCTGTGTGCTATAACTCACCGTTAATAGCAATACCTTCATGACGTCAATTGATTCGCCTCCTGAAATGTTTCAATGATAATATCGTTTTGCCGTTTGTATTTCCTTTAGCATATTACGTCACATAATGCCGCCTGTGCTCCGAGCTCTACTTCCTCTACGCCCAGTGCTGTCGTGACGCAGCGAAAACGAAGGGCTGGCGGTAGTGCCACTACGGCCGGCAGGTGCCGTCCTCCCACCGGCATTGTAACACCTATAACAACCAGGGCACAGG